CGCCCCCGCCCCTCACCTGGCTCCGCCCCCTCCCAACACCAGGGCAATAGTGTTTCCTGTGAGGACCCGCGCCAGGCGGGAGAAGTCGCTGTGCCGGTCCGCGCGCCTGGAGAACACCTTCTCGTAGAGCTCATGCTGGGATGCGGGGGACAGCACCGTGACCCATGAGGATGGGAAAATGGGGCGAGGCATAGCGGATCCCCAGCCACGCCCTGACCTTCCCAGGCCCATCCCCCTCCCTTAGCCACGCCCCCAGAAACCATGCCCATAACCTCCCTCTCCAAGCCCCGCCTCTCACCAGCTTGGCCGGGCTGCGCCGGGAGAAGAGGCGGCGCGGGCAGCGCAGATGCAGGTGCCCTGAGCACCAGCTGCGCATGTTGAGCCACTCCACGGTGCGCGCGGGGCCCGGGCTCTCCTCGCGATGCAGCAGCACCAGCTGCTTGAGGGCGCGCACGGCCGTGTTCTCCAGCATCTGCTCCAGCTGCGGAAGACAGAGAGCGGAGATCGCCAGTCTCCCCCTGCCCCCCACTCCCCGGCCAAGCTTGGGTCCCTGGTCGCCTAGCCCCCACTGTGAGGATGCATGTGGCGTGGCGCAAGCCCTGGAGGGCAGGGGACGGGGTCCTGGGAGCCTCTGGACCTGGCCGACAGTGGGCTCCTGGTCACCCAGGCCCACGATGAGGATGCAGTCAGCCTGGCGCAGACAGCGCACAGTCCAAGGCGTCAGCGATGCGTCTGTCTGGTAGAGCACGATGCGGTGTGCATCCTCCTGCTGGGCCAGCCACCCTGACAGCCGGAACTCTTGGATGCTGGGGTGGGATGGGGAGAGCGTCATCCTGGGGCTGGCCTGGGGTCGTGCATCCCCAGAAACCACATAGCTCCAGTGCTGAAAGGAGCTTAGACACCCAAGTCCTCAAGATAGAAGTCTGTGCGCTAGAGGGGCGGATTCACCCCAGTCTCCCTGATGACCGATGGGTGGGGCACAAGCTCCTTGACTCAGTGCCCATAATTTGAACCCGTATCTGAAAGAATCTGAGGCTCCATGCATACGCCTCATCCTCCCCGCTCCCCCCTGCAGCCCCAACACACACCTATCCAGTGCAGAGGCCCCCAGGCGCGCCCGGATGATGTCACTGTTGAGGAGAAGCGTGGGACCTAGTGGTATGTGAGGAAGGGAGGTTAGGAACCATGGTCAACAGGACTGGGGGACTCTCCTAGAAGAAAATACCTATCACCCCACCCCGTGGCCTGGAGCCCTGATCCACCCCACCCCACACATGCCCACCCAGGTGTATCTACTCACTGACCAATGCCCACACACACCCTGACCCGCACACATCAGTGGCCAGCCCCAGTGACCAATGGCTTGCCCTCACCCACGCCCCTTCCCCCCACTGACCGATGGCTTGCAGAGCGTGCTGCAGCTCCAGGGTAAAGGCCACCATGGGCACCTCAGCACACACAGGCAGGATTGCCACCGTTGACAGGTTGCTGGCAGGGTTGGTGAGTTCTGAGTGTGGGGGGACACCCAGCCCCGAGCCTGCTGAGATCCCAATGAGTGAGACTTGCAACCCTGTGTGTGGACAGGTGGATCCTCCTCCTCCTCCTCTGAATCCCTGCTCCTTGTCTCCGACTGCCCCTAGCCTTGATGCTACCATACTGAAGGCCAGAGCTCCAGTCCTGGGCTCACTGTCCCCTCTCTTGTTAAAACCTCGCCATCCAACCTTCACTTTTGGTCCCAGTCTCCTCAACGGGATCCACTACACAGTTCCACAACCATTCAGAATCACTGTGCCTGGGTAGACCCAACGGTGCCCCTGCCCCATTCTGGCCTTGGCTCCTCTGCCCAATAAAAGGGCCTAAAGATAAAACTAGGCAGAAATAATAAATTCTCCTCTTCCCTCTGTCCCCCTGCTAACCACGCTGCCTCACGACCCTCTTTTATTTTCTTCACAAAACTTATCAACTTCTGACATTGTGCTCTTTCTCTGTATTTTTAAAACTCCCAACGGAAGGAAGGAAGGAAGGAAATGATGCCTCCCCACCACCACCCCGGGGAATCCAGGTGTCAGGGCTGGTGAAGTAGCACTGGGGGACAAAGGGGCGCTGAGGTTGCCCAGCTGGCCCAGGATCGGGTCTTTATAATGTAGAACCTCTGGCCCAAAGTCTGGCATGCCTCGAACCCGACTCCACTCCCCCGTTTATCCTCGCTCACAGGGAACACAAGCTGGGACATGGCCACACCTCCCAGCACACGGGTAACTTCAGGGGCCACTTCCCAACGTGCGCAGTGACCTAAAAACCACCCCATGGACTCCATTTACCACCATATTCTGATCTCGGACTCCTTTTCCCAGCATGTTCAGGATGTGGACTCTATCCCCCAGCAAACCCCGACCCCAGGGCCAAACCCACGGCTTAAGACTCCGCCCCCCCAACACCACCAATGACACCGACAGGTCCATTGACAGGCAGGCCCGGGGTCTAGGACTCCGTTTCCCAGCATGCATGGGAACCTGAACTACATTCCCCAGCGTGCACTGGAACTTGGACCCACTTCCGGCTGCAAACCCCGCCCAGAGCATGATTTATATATACATGGAACTCCGCTTCCCAGCATGCCCTTGGGTATAGTACTTTCCCTCCCAGCATGCTCAGGGCGCCAAACTACATATCCCAGCACGCCCCTGGCAGGCCGGCTCTCACCTGGGAAGGGTCCCTGCAGCTGCTGTAAATTCCCTAGAATTTTCTGGCTCAGCAGGTGGATGAGGCGGGTCACGACCTGGTGGCGTTGCAGGCCGGAGGTCCAGTGAGATCCGGGGAGCGAAAGAATGGATCACACCTCTCCCTCCTCTGAAGGGGTGTCTGAGTCCCCGTTACCTGGGCCCCACCCCCACCCGAAACCCCTCCCCATATATTTGGCCCTGCCCCCTCCCATCTGCCCCGCTCCCATTAGGAGACCAGCGCACATCCCGCCGCACCTGTGGGTACCGACGTTTGATGTGGCCCAAGGTGCCCTCGGGGAGCTTGGCCAGCTCCGTGTCGCGCACCGCGTGCACCGTCGTGGCTCTCGGCTGCCTAGTCAGCGCCTCCACCTGTGGGGCCGTGGGCATGACTGGGCTGCTGGGGCCGGGAGGCCTGGGAAAGGGAAGGAGGTGGCCGGCCGACCACGGGTGCACAGGGGACCATACTGCCCCACCTAGGGTGTCCCCCCGACACAGGGGTGGAGGGAACCAAGCCTCGCTCGCTACCCATTATGGCTCAGAAAATAGGGAGAGGACAGGGATCCACGACGGGAGAGGGTCCTCTTTTCTGATGGAAAGAGGCCTGGGGGCGGAGTCAGATCAGACAGATCCCCCTCCCCCCGCCCCACGGAAAGGAGAATGGAAATAAACTGGGTGAGGTCAGAGGTTACTGGCTGGGGCCGCGCTCACCACACCGATGAGGTCCCCGCGGCCGTACTCGCCCACCAGCTCTTTCTTGCCGTTGCCACGCTGGATGACGCTGCGCAGCCGTCCATTGAGCACGATGTACGTGCAGTCGGAGCGGTCGCCCTGCCTGGGGTGAGGGGTGGGTCACACTGGGTTGTCCTAGGCAGGGTCTGAGCGGAGCGGTGGGGAGCGGGGCCTGCACCTGTACAACGCGCGTCCCGCCTCCACCGCTGTCCAGTCAATAGCGAAGTCCATCTGGCGCACGAAGGGTGACATCCTCGCGGCCACTGTGTGCGCGGCGCTCAGCACCACACTGGGCTGTGCACGCATGATCCTGCCGGCAAGGGAGGTGGGGTGTGGGTAGGGGACACCAGATCTGGGAGCTCCCTTCTCCTCAAGGAGTGGAATCAAAGGGTGGGGTCTTGGCCTCTCCCACAGCAGAGCCGAGTTGGGTTGGGGTCCTAGGAGTGCCACTCCCACCCCAACCTCAGGCCCAGTCGTACTCATAGAAGTCAGATTTGGAGATACGCAGGAAGGTGCAGTCGCGCTGGGCACGCAGCGTGAAGATGAGGGGTTCGCCCGTGAGCACAGCCAGCTGCCCCACCAGCTCTCCCGGTTGTGCCACGAACAGGCACACGTCCTCCGCCTTGTCGATCATGCGCTGATACACGTGCAGGCAGCCCCAGAGCACGAAGTGCAGGCTCACGTCCTGTGAGGGCAGGGGCTGGGAGATGAGCACACAGCCAGCAACAGCATCCCCCACCCAACTCAGGGGCAATGTGCCCTATGGAAAGATTAAGAGGGAAGGGTTGGGCTGGCCTGTTAGCTCAGTGGGTTAGAGCCATGTTGCTAACACAATGGTCAAGGGTTCAGATCCCCAAGCGGCCAGCCGCCAAAAACAAACAAAAAAAGAAGGTAGGTTAAGACTTTGATATGTGAATAGCACAGATAGATACACAGGCAGAGAAGCTCCTTGACTTACAATGAGGTTGTGTCCTGATAAACGCGTTGTAAGTCAAAAGTGCATTTAACACACCTAACCTGCTGAACATCACAGCCTACCTTCAACACACTCAGAACACTTACATTAGCCTACAATTGGACGATATCATTTAACACAAAAGCCTATTTTTTAAAAAAAGGGTTGAATATTTAATGTAACTTATTGAATACTGTACTGAAAGCAAAAATCAGAACGGTTGTATGGGTACTCAAAACATGATCATAAAGTCAAAAAATCGTAAACCAAACCATCATAAGTCAGGGACCATCTATATATACTAAGCACCCGGGACAGACATTGCTAATGGATCACCAAATTGAGACCAGATTAAGGCCTGTGAATTCTTTTCAACACAGCCAGCAAGACGCTGCAAGGAAGGGCTACACAGGGGCCTGGCTGAGCTTAAATTCTCTTTGCTTATGCTGGGCAACTGAATAGCCACATGGAAAAGAATGAAGCTGGACTCCTATCTCAAACCATATCAAAATGGATCAAAACAAATGTAAGAGCTAAAACTATATGTGGTGCTGATAACACTAAGATCCAGGATTTGATCCCTGTATTGGCCAGCCACACACACACACACACACACACACACACACACACACACACACACACACAAAAGAAAGAGCTAAGAAAGACCATAAAATTCTTACAAGAAAAATTCTTACAAGAAAATCCTTCGTGACCTTGGATTCAGCAATGGATTCTTAGATGTGTCACCAAAAGCACGATCAACAGAATTGGACTTCATCAAGATTAAGAACTTTTTTTTTTTTTTTTCCTTTTTGTCTTTTTCCGTGTCCGGCAACGGATTGCAACCCTCAGTGTCGCCCCCGTACCGGACCGGGACCGGCAACGGGATCGCAATCCTCGGTGTTGCTCCCGTGCCTCGCTCAGCCAGTGAGCGGGAACCGGTCTGTATGTGGGATCTGAACCCTTGGCGGGAGCGCTGCCACGCTCCCAAGTGGCGCACTATAGCAGTGCGCCACTGGGCCGGCCCAAGATTAAGAACTTTAGGGCCAGCCCATGGCTCACTCGGGAGAGTGTGGTGCTGATAACACCAAGGCCACAGGTTCGGATCCCGTATAGGGATGGCCAGTTAGCTCACTTGGGAGAGTGTGGTGCTGACAACACCAAGTCAAGGGTTAAGATCCCCTTACTGGTCATATTAAAAAAAAAAAAAAAAAAAAAAAAAAAACGATTAAGAACTTTAAAAGATAAAACAAAATAAAATAAGATAAAAAGATTAAGAACTTTTGGGCTTCAAAGGACACTATCAAGAAAGTGAAAGGACAACGCACAGACTGAGAAAATATTTGCAAATCATACGTATGATAAAGGTCTAGTATCCAGAATATATAAGGAGGCTGGTCAGGTAGCTCAGCTGATTAGAGTTCAGCCTTATAACATCAAAGTCACGGGTTCAGATCCCGTACCGGCCAGCAGCATAAAACAAAAACAAAAACCCAAAACAAAAACTCACACAACGACAGGAATGGCGGGAGGATGGAAAAGAGAAAAAAGACGAAAAAAGACAAATAACCCAATTTAAAAATGGACAAGGAACCTGAATACATTTCTCCAAGGAAGATATATAAATGGCCAATAAGCACATGAAAGATGCTCAAAATCATGGATCATCAGAGAAACACAAATCAAAACCACATGAGATACCCCTTCACACTAAGATGGCTAGAATCAAATGTTGGGAGGATGAGGAGACACTGGAACCCTCATACACGCTGGCGGGAATGTAGAATGCGGCAGCTGGTCTGGAAAACAGTCTGGCAAAGTTAAAAACAGTCCTCCAAAACTTAAAAATAGAGTTGCCATATGACCAAGCAATTCGACTCCTAGGTATATACCTAAGAGAAATAAAAACATACGGCCACACAGAAATTTGTACATGAATGTTCACAGCAGATTATTCGTAACAACTAAAAGTGGAAACAACCCAAATGTCCGTCAACAGATGAATGATAGATAAAATGTGGCCTATCCATATTATGGATTATTTGGCCATAAAGAAATGAAGCCCTGATACATGCCACAACATGGATGAACACTGAAAACGTGCTAAGTGAGAGGGGCCAGACACAAAAAGCCAGATATTGTATGATTCCATTTATGGGAAATGTCCAGAACAGGCAAATGTACAGAGACAGAGAGTAGATTGCTCAGGGCTAAGGGAGGAGGTTGACGACTAAATGAATGAGGCTTCTTTTCAAGGTGATGAAATGTTCTAAGATTGACTGTGGTGATGTTTGCCCAACTCTGTAAGTGTACTAAAAACCATGGAAGTGTATATATAGACTTTAAATGGGTGAATTGGGGACTGGCCAGTTAGCTCAGCTGGTTAGAGCATAGCCTTGTAACACCAAGTTCAGGGTTTGGATCCCTTTACCGGCCAGACACAAGGAAAATGAGTTATATCTCAATAAAACTACTACCCATGCCCCCAAAACTCCTCTTTGCTCTTCAATGGTCCCACTTGAGTCCTGCCGACTTACTTTTATTTCCTAGAGATTAACACGTTTCCTCCCCTGCAGAATACTGGCACCAGCTCTTCACTCTGCCTAGAATGGCCTTTCCTCCTGCCTGCACCCAGTTAATTTCTCCTCATCCTTCCTCCTTAGCTGGAGGGCTCGTCCTCAGAGACACCAGCCTGTCTAAGCCAGACTCGGTAGTGCTGAGAATGTCTTCTTCCCAACACTAAGCACTTAGGATTTTATAAGGATTTGTAAAATCCTTTGAGTCATGTCCATCAGAACTGTGGGCTTCCCAAGGGCAGGGACCATGCCAATTTTTCTTGCTTCTTGTCCAGCAGGCAGCACAGCGTCTGGGACATGGCAGATGCTCAGTAAACAGATGTTTCACTCCTCTCTGGTTAGTCTGACCAGTCAGACAGCTCTCCATCCCACCCCTTTATAAATAAGGAACTGAAACTGCCCAGAGACAGGTTCCTTCCTTATCCACCACACCAACCTGTCTGGCACCCAACAAAGCTCTACCCCCCAGAACACCACAGGGACCTTTGGGTAGTACATGGCCCCAGGAGATCTACAGTCAGCCCTCGGTATCTGCAGAGGATTGCTTCCAAGAAACCCCACATACACCAAAACCTGCAGATACTTAAGACTGGCAGTTGGCCCTGGGGAACCCACATATATGAAAAGACAGACCTCTGTACGCGCAGGTTCTGCAACCCGCCAATACCATATTTTTGATCTGCGATTGGTTGAAAATAATCCATGTGTAAGTAGACCCATGCAGTTTAAACCCATGTTGTTCAACGGTCAAGTGTACAGACATACACACATGCTGGTACCTTCTCAGACAGAATTTCCAGACTGTGTTTGGGAGTTACAAATATGAGGCTTCCATTTGTCATTGGATTGGGAGGTGTGTTTCTTTACCGTAGGACTTCTCAGAGCCTTGGCTATTTTAATGATGTTCACTGGGAGCGTCCAAGAAGGGATAAAACAACATTTCTCAAATCTATTTGATCACAGATCCCTTGTCTGTAATACATATATTGCATGAAACACTTGGGGAAATGCGTGTATAAAGCATACTTTCTCAGCCTTGGCACTATTGATCGTTTGGATTAGATAATGCTGTCAGGCTGCACGGTGCATCTGAGCATCCCTGGCCTCCCTCCCAAGTGTGACAATCAAAAATGTTTTGGTACTGCCGTATGTCCCTTGTTGGACAAAATCACCCCCAGTTGAGAACCATGGGTATAAAGTTTCCAAGAGAAGCACAGCAGAGTAGCAGTCCCTAACAAAGTCCTGCAGAGCCCGAGAAGCCTTGAGGACTGCAGACCAGCCCAATCCACTAGCAGGCCAGGGCTGGGTTGAGCCCAACAGACTCCCACATGAGCAGAGCCCAACAGATACTCCAACATGAGCAGGGCCCAGGGCCCAGGGCCCCTGCAGGAGCCACGGTGTGACTGCACTTCCTCATCCTGTCCCCCAAGTATCAGAACAGCTTGCAAAAGCCTCACCCCATTTCCTTGCCAGAAAGGAACCTGCCCCTGCAGTGAGCAGCTCAAGGAGATAGCAGAATCACCCAATCAAGTGATATAACAGGGCTGGGTGGTTAGCTCACTCGGTTAGAGGGTGGTGCTGATAACACCAAGGTCCAGGGCTTGATTCCTGTACTGGCCAGCCATCAAAAAAAAAAAAAAAGAAAAGAAAAAAAAGACACTACCCCAGCCACCCCAGCTACCAAGTGGACGACATCTCCCACTCTGTCCCCAACCCCGGCCCAGGCTTCTCCCCCCTAAGTTTGAAGTAGTTCTGGGGTCTCACTGCCTGTGGCATGTTGCTGGCTTCAACTGTCACCCTATGTCCCTCTCACCATGAGCTACTGCTAAACTTCTTCCCTGGGGACACTGTCACCCTTGCAAACCTTATACATCTCTGAACTGAGTGACTCCTATTCTTACCCCCACTGCACAGATGAGAAAGCTGAGAACTTTCTAGATCATTCACCCAACATCACGGGGAGTCTGAGCAGAGTTCAGTTTCAACTCTCCTCTCCGCCTCCTGACTTGAGATCCTGGCCAGGTGGCTAACCCTTAAAGACAATGAAGGAATTGGCAGGATCCACTTTCCTACACCTCCTGGGTGCTGCCGGGAGGCACCAGCACCCTGCCCCTGGGGCTGGTTCATGGGTCCAGATGTTGACTTCTTTTTTTTTAAAAGATGACCAGTAAGGGGATCTTAACCCTTGACTTGGTGTTGTCGGCACCATGCTCAGCCAGTGAGCGAACTGGCCATCCCTATATAGGATCCGAACACATGGCCTTCGTGTCATCAGCACCGCACTCTCCCGAATGAGCCACAGGCTGGTCCTCAGATGTTGACTTCTTTTTTTTTAAAAGATGACCAGTAAGGGGATCTTAACCCTTGACTTGGTGTTGTCGGCACCATGCTCAGCCAGTGAGCGAACTGGCCATCCCTATATAGGATCCGAACACATGGCCTTGGTGTCATCAGCACCGCACTCTCCCGAATGAGCCACAGGCTGGTCCTCAGATGTTGACTTCTACCCATTTACTGAGCACCTATCCTGGCACGGGCCAGGGTTAGAAGTGAACAGAACATCAGGGAACACTGGAGAATTGGAAGATCAGAAAATTGATCTCACAGGAAAAGCCGGGGCAGACAGGAGAGATCTGAAGGTTTGGGTCACAGGGTAAAAGGTTCATGGGTTGGAAGTGAAGGGTTGATAGGTCTAGAAGACATGAGGTAGGGGGACAGAGTAAGGATCATAGGATCTAAGAGTTAGAGGTTGGAAATCACAGGATGAGAAGTCTATCTGTATGGGGGCAGGTGTCAGTCCTAGAGCCAGAGGTCAGGGGTCAGAGGTGAAAGGGAGAAATCTCGGGTTGTAGAGATAGAGGTCAGGGCTCGGCCTCACCTGGTCCCCCTGTCGGGCAATGACGGTGCCGGCTTTGGCATGACGCAGCAAGACCCGGCTGTTCAGGAGGGACAGGTCCTGGGGAGCAAGGGGGATTGAGATGGGCCCAGCCAGGCCTCCCCTCCTCCAGCCCCGTCCCCAGCCCCCTTGGGCCACCCACCTCAATCCGCATCAGCTTGGCCAGCTCCCGCTTGGCCGCCTCAAAGATGGTGCTTGTCTGGCGGCCCTGGTAGGGCCCGAAGAGGCAGCCACCGGTGGCCGACTCGTCCTCGCAGTAGCTATATTCACAGGCGCCTGCCGGCTGCTCCCGGGGCTCCTGAGTGGGGGTCTGCGTAGGGCAAGGCCAGTGACCTTCTGCTGCTCACTCCCAACCACCCTTCTTAGGGGACCCCACCATTGGCCAGGCCAGGATCCTGGGATTGGGATGGAGTTGGGGTCTTACTCGAGCAGGGGCTGCCTGGGGTCCCCCGGAGGCCTCTTCTTGAAGGGACACAGAGATCCGGCCCCGCTCATAGGCCATGTCGAAGTCAGAGCGGGGGCCACCCTGCAAGCCTGTGGGTGGTCAGGGGCAGAAATAAAAACAATACAGAATCAGGCTGTCCAGTGAGCTCAGTTGATTAAAGCGTGGCATTATAACACCAAGGTCAAGGGTTCAGATCCCCATACCACCCAGCAGCAAAAATAAGTGAATGAATGAAAGAATGAATAGATAACTAGAAAGATGACAGTGACCACAAAGGCAGCCTAAAACCAACCGCTACTCCACACTCAGCGCCACAACCGTGGCAGACATGACTAACTGATGGCCGCGCTCCCCCACCGAATCTTTCTCACCACAGTTGGGAAAGCACCATCTCAATGAATACCCACCAAAAAGGACTGGAGAAAGCACTGTTGGTCTTCCCATCTCGTGGATAAGGAAAATCAAGACTGGCAGGTCTGGATTCAAACCCAGAAACTCAATGGCCCTCCCCTGACACTCAATGCCCCAAACCTGAGATGTCCACTGGCATAGAGATGCAGCGACTCAGCAGAGGGGCTGAGGGGGCTTCCAGGGATGTAGGCTTCACAGGGTCCCCTAGGGCAGACATGTGTTCAGGTTCCTGTCCCTCAGAGCCACTAGGTCCAGAGCCAGGATTAGGGGGTGGGAGTTGGAGAGGGCTCTGAACAGGGGTCAGCTTGGAGTCCCTGGGGATAGGGGAACTAGGAAAAGCAATTCGAATGCATTCCCTGGGCCGAGGACAGAGGCTCCTGGGAGACCAGACAGAAGTCAGACCTGGGTACCCAGCTGAAGGGTTGTGGGAGGCTGGGATCAGGTTGGGTCTCTGCAGAACTGAGAAAGGGATTGTGGGGCTGAGTCAGGGCTTCCTGGGCAACTGGGCTGGGCAGTCCTAGGGACCCACACAGGGGTGGTCTTGGGTACCTGTAGGTCCAGGCAGTGGAGCCCCGGTGGGGTCAGGCGGCCGACCGGGGGTCTCTCTTGGCTCCTCACTAGCTGAGTTGCTGACCACCCGCTTGGAGCCACGCACGGGGCTGGTGCGGGTTGGGAGGCCAGGGCTGGGGAACAGGCGCAGGGGCTGGATCTCCTGGGGACAGAGAGCAGCTTGTGCCATGTCTCAGGAGTCCCATCCTGCCCTCCCCCCTCCCCCCACCCCCCTCTATCCTCCTGTGCTCGCCCCCAACTCACGTGGCTGAAGAGCTCATTGGTCAGACCCAGGTAGTTGTGCAGCGCCAGGAAGGTGACTCGTTGTAGCCTCACCATGATGATCTGCAGGGGCGTGAGGGGGCGTGAGGGGGCAGGGTGGGCGGAGGGGTGGGACCAGAGGGTGGGGAAAAGGAGGTGGGGTGGGGCCAAGGTCAGAGATGGGGCGGAGCCACGGTGGCTCTGGAGCAGGCTGCTCAGAGCAGATAACCACAGCCTGAGAGCCTGCAGGCTGCTGGGCTCCAGCACTGTGCCTGCGGTGGGTGGGGGCACAAGTGGGGCCCCTGGGTGAAAGGAGGGAGGCGGAAGGCCCACTGACCTGCACCACCCGCACCAAGCTCTCCGGATACTTGGTGAAGACGGCAGAGAAGGCTTCCACTGGCAGCCTCAGCACTGTGGAGTCACGGGCTGCCCTGGCAGACACCGTTCGCTGGGGATGCTGGTGACCCTGAGGCAGGAAAGGACAGGAGAAGACACAAGGTCAGGGGCTCAGAGTCCCCTCACTGCTCCCCCAGCCCTTCCCGCTGCCAGTGCCTTTAAGCACCACTGGTAGCATCATGAGGGAACCAGAGATTGGGGGTCCTTCCACTGGGTGTGTCCTTATTCCCCAGCCCTCCACCTCAGACTGGTCACTCACAGTGATGACATCCAGGATGCTTAGAAGGCTGTTCACGCTGTCTCCAGGGACCACTTCCTTCACAACACATTCCTTCCCATCCTGAGACACAAGGGACCGCTGACTAGTGCTGGCCTGGCCCAGGTGACTGGCATTCTGCTCCCTGACCATATCACTAGTCCTTACCCTCACCCATCCCAGTGATCACTGACACCCCCTGCATCCCGAAACCCACCAAACTTTCTGACCAGCAGCTGCCTTCTGTCCTTCACTAACAGTAACCACTAACCAACCATGGAGATCACCCCAAATGTCCTTGGTCACCCATTCCCGACTCCCTTTTTTTTTTTTTTTGGCATTTGGCCAGTATGGAGATCTGAACCCTTTAGACCTTGGTGTTATCAGCACCATACTCTAACCAACTGAGCTAATCAGCTAGCCCTCCCCTGACTCCTGACTCCACATCTCAGAAGACCACCAACCCTGCTGACCAACAGCAGGTCCTGACCCCAGTGACCGCTGTCCCACTGCCCATCCCCCTGTGGTGGCTCCCCAGGCAGTCCACTCACAGGCCCTGGCAAGCAGAGCTCCAGCAGCCCATCCTGCACCACGTAGATGCTGGCATCGGGCTGGCCTGGCCGCAAGACATAGTCTCCCTGGCTCAGTCGCTGGAAGACCATGTGCCTACAGAGCTCCAGGAAGAGTGGCTTCTCAAAGTGGCCCAGCACCCTGTTAGAGGGGCGGTGGGGGGAGGGAGTGCAGGTCAGAGCAGCCCCCAGCGCTGCAGCCCCCCTGCCCACACCCCCGACACTGACCGGACGTTCTTGAGCATGTAGAGCACTTCAGAGGGCAGGTGGGAGTTGGCCAGGTCACCCTCTGTCAGGTCCGCCTCCAGCACTGCGGGCGGGGGCTCCTTCCGCTGCAATGTCGGTGTCTCTTTCTGGATGCGCAGGATCCTGGTGGGAGAAGAGGGGTGGACAGAAAAAGGGCTCAGGTAGACCTAAGACCCCTCGCATAGCCTTTCCCCCTCGTAGAGCAAACTTTGGCCACTGGACAAATCAGGCCCACCCTCTACTTTTTGTTAATAAAGTCTTATTGGCACACAGCCACAATCATTGATGTATTTGCATACTGTCTATGGCTGCTTTCATGCTACAACAGCAGAGTTGAATAGTTGTGACAGAGACTGTATGTGGCCTGCAAAGCCTAAAACGTTTACCATCTGGCCCTTTGCAGAAAAAAATTATGACTCCTGATATAAAGTCCTGAGACTGCCCTTCCACTAGTCATAGGCCCCTGAGATGGACCCTAACTAGGTGGACCCTAGTTAGGAAGACCCCTGACATAGATTCTAAGACATGGGAAGAGCCCCAGAACAGCACTTCTGTTTGTCATGGAAGCCCTAAAATAGTCCTTCCAGTAGTTACAGGCTAGATTTCTGAACTAGCCTCCCTAATGGGCATGCCTCTGGGGTACCTTCCATTATATGAAAAGATCCCAGACACAGCCTTTCTGCTCTTTGTAAATGGCTATGAGATAGCCCTTCCTCCCAGGTCTCAGAGAATCCTGATACAGCCCCTCTCATGGCCACAAAGATCCCTGAGATAGCCCTCATGACATGTGGAGAATCCAGATATATCTCCTCCGTTAATCGTGGACCTGGAAGAGCCCTTTCTCATAAGTCACAGTGACTGCTGAGACATCACCTCCATTGACACAAGATCCCTGACACAGACCCTCTAGAATGAGCAAACCCTTGAGGTAAACTCAATGATAGAGAAAAATCCAGACATAATTTCTCTTCTGATCAGGGAGATCCTGGGCTATCCCTTCCCCAGACCACAGAGAGCTCTGAGATAGCCTAGATAGCCATCTGACAGTCATGAAGATTTCAGGGTGTGCACCCTCCTCAAGGATGTGCAGACACTGGAGACAGCCCCATGATGTGGAGAAACCTGAGATACAGACACTCAACCGATCACGGAGAATCTAGAGATAGTTCTTCTACTAATGTCATAGAAAGCTCTGTGATACCATAACTGTACATCATGAAGAGCCTTCGAATGGCCCCCTAGTGTGAGAAAACCCTTGACAAAGACCTTCAGGATAGATCACATGATGCAAGGAGCCCCCAGAGCCAGCTCCCAACTTACAAGATCAATCCCTGGCAGAGCCTTTCTCAGAGACCTAGATATAGACCTTTGCTGCCAACATGGACCACCTGAAATGTCCTTCCTGTTTTTCTTTTTTTGTTTGTTTTAAAAAGATGACTGGTAAGGGGATCTTAACCCTTGGCTTGGTGTTGTCAGCACCACGCTCAACCAGTGAGCCAACTGGCCATCCCTATATAGGATCCGAACCCGTGGCCTTGGTGTTATCAGCACGCACTCTCCCGAGTGAGCCACGGAGATTCTTGAGATAGCCCCTTGACAATAGAAACCCCCAAGACATCCTCCCTAATGTGGGAATAACTCCAAGGTCAGTGACAGAGAGAGATGTCTTCTGACGTAGAAAGACTAGAGATAACCCCTACAGACAGCCCCTTTAGCAGGTCATACAAACACCTGAGATAACCCCAGTAAGGCACCCTAGAATAAACCCTCTCATGTGGGGAGACCCCAAGATGTAGACCCCTAAACATATGGTGAGACCTGTGAGATACTAGCTCTGGAGCAGATAGATACCCCTGTGGTAAGGGAACATCACTGAGATAGCCCTCAGGGGACAGAAACTCCAGACACAGCTCGTCTGGTGTGGGACAGCTCTGAAACAGCCCCTCAAAGGAGAGCCCTCAGAGGTCCCTCTGATGTGGGAAGACTCCCAAAACCGTCCGTGGGATTCAAAGAACTCTGATATATACACTTCGGTATGAGCTGATCATTCAAAAGGCCCCTGAGATAGTCCCCAGCGCCAGATAGACCCAGCACAGCCTTACTTCTTGGCAATGTTGAGCATCTTAAGTTTCTTCTTCATGCGTGGCCGGGAAGTGGTGGAGACTGAGGCGTCCACCAGGGAAGAGGTGGACTGTGACACCTGGGAGAATTAAGGGGGGTACGGGTCAACTGCCAGTTCAGACCCAGGGGGAGAGGAGAGCTCGATCCAGGAGCGCTTCACTAAGGAGAGATGCGGTGGCGCCCACTAGGAGATGTAAATAGGGAAGGGGCAGGGCCTCTGCTGGTCAGCGCGGATCCCAGCGGGCCGTGGACTCACCTTCCGCATAATCTTCCGGCCATAGAAAAGCACTTTGTCCCTCTTCCGGAACCGATACCGTGGGCCATCCGGGGCCGGGGTTTCTGGGGATAGGTGGGGAGAGGGGCACTCCGAGCTCTGCGCAGACTCCATGCTGCCCGAGCTGGGAAGGCTGCGTGCACACTCCAGCAAATCTCCATCTCTACGGGTGTGGGAACCCGAGTATTTCAGCTCCCCACCCCAGAGCCTCCCCGCAAGAGCCCTCCGGGTCCTCACTCGGCACTCGCAGCCTCCGCACCACCAGGAGGATGAGCACGGCCGTAACCAGCACCGCCACTCCGGCCCCTATCATCACGCCCAGCACCTGCGGGACGAACGGCACTGGCTGCGAACCGCATATCTGTCCCTCCAAGTCCTCCCCGGGTGTCTCCATCTGCAGAATGGGCCAGCTCGGTTCCCTGCCGGGGGCGCGACTCCGCCCGACGGTTCGGCGGCCCGCGGTGCATGCCGGGAAACGTAGTTTCACCGGAACAGACGCAGCCTCGTTCTCGCGAGACCGCGAGAGTGCACGCTGAGCACGCTGGGAGTTGTAGTCCCCGCCGCGCCGCACCAACCGCAACCTTTACCATTCCTGTTTGCAGTGGGGCCTCCATCAGTTGCTTCAGGCCGAGCGGCGGGTCTGGTAGCCGGGAGTCCTGGGGAATCAAGGAGCAGCAGGAACTTGTGCCAGTGGTCAATAAGGGCCCAACCCTTCCCTGCCGCGAGCCCCGCCCCCTGGGTTCCTGCTGCCCGGATGGGAAAGTTACAGGGGTAGAGGGGTGCTGCGGGACAGAGGGACGGGACAAATTGACCTCCCGGCCCAGGCCAGGGGTTGAAGCTGGTCCCCGGCTCCTCGCCAGGCTCCCTTCGCCTACGCACAAGACCGCCCAGACATCCGGCCCCTCCAACCGCACCCCGGGGCCAAAGGGTAGCCGTCCTAGCGTCCACAGTCAGCAGCCCGTGGGCGGGTCTCCGCAGGGCACGGCCCCCTCCAGCTGGTGGCCCCGTCCTGGGCCTGCACGGGATTGATCAATCCTGCCCGACAGACTCCTGGGCCGCACCTCCTCGCCTACCCACTCCCTAGAAGACTGGATGCCCCACTCCAGGAAAACTGGCGCCTGCCTGCAAGCCACGAAGTCCGAAGGGAGGGGAGGAACAGCTGGACACTTACTCCGACCCAAGCCTGCCCCCGGGAAGACCCGGGAGCTGGGGCGCCGGGGAGTGCTGCCGGCGACTCCCACAGAAGGGGTCCTGGGGCAATCTCGAGCCCTGGGACGCTCGGGTGGGGTGGGCTTGCTAGGTTTATTCTGGGGATTTACTATCACATTATAATAAAGTTATGGGGTCTCTGATGGTGAGGAGCATCACTGGGCCTCCGGAACGATGGTGGCGCCGCTGGTGAGAGGCGTAACCAGGGACGCTGGAATTACTGGGGAGCCCTGGAAAGTTACTGAGAGATTCCGAGGAATACAAGACTGGGGAAGCCGAGAGCTGGGTGGGCACGTCCCTGGGGTCATCTGCGTATGAGATCGGGCCTGGGGAGGGTGTCCGGGCTCCTTGGAAGATACTGAGGAACGCTGGAACACTCTGGGACTTTTCTCTGAAGCTGAAGATGTTTCTGGCGCTGTTAGAGTATTAATGGCAATTCGGGAGAGTCACTGGGCCCTTGAGACGTCAGCTGAAAAATTCGTGGTGACTGGTCCCCTTTCACCCCAGGGCGCACCCGGCTACAGGTGCAGAAACATCTTCCGGGAACTAGGGGGTTGGGAGCATCAGAAAGTCGGGAGCTACTGGGAATCGGCGGAGGAGAGATCTTGAGAAAGCCGAGACTCGCTAACGATAGCCGGAGGGACGCCCCTGAGGGGCCGATGAAAACCCGAACTCACCCAGGGGCCTCAGCTGGAGTCCACTCTGCGCCAGCACCGCTAGCTTTCCGCCGGGCTCGGCAGGCGCGGCCCCTTTAAATTATTCACCGGAGGGAGCCTCGCAGCCCCGCCCCCCGCCGGGCTCGGAACTTCTCGACACTTCTCGACAAGCCAGCCGGGCTGAGTGTGGCCGCGCTTTAAAGGAGCAGGAGACCGACCGGTGCAAGGACTGCCCCTTCCGCTAGAATAAGAACAACGAGTTTGTTTTCCCGTTTATTTAACACCCACCCCTCCCCCCCAGTGTCCGACCCGACTGGTCCAGGCCCTCACAGGGCCCGGCAGGGATCCGGTCCTTAAAAGCAAACCCTAAAAATAAATAAGTGGAGGTCCCCGCAGTCCGGGGGCTAAAGTTCAGTGGCCGTCGTGGTCAATTCACCAGCAGCGAATGTTCCTCAGAGGCGTCCCTGGAGGAGAGGAGCAGAGGGCGGGGGCATCAGGTCTCTCTGGCCCGCTCCCCTTCCGCCTTCTCCCAGCTCCCAGCCCTCAGTTCGAACCGAGCCCCGGACTCGAACCTGCCGCAGCAGCAGAGGAGGCTGCAGGCTGAGCCGCTCCCGCGGCGGAACTTGCCGGAGGTGGGGCTGTCCTGGCACTGCGCGATGTAGGCCTGGAGCTCGCTCTCCTCGCCGGCACCGCCCGGGTGCTGGGGAGAGATACCAGCGGCCCAGCATGAGAACAGACCCCCGAACTCCAAGGCTCTTTGAGGTCTGCCCTCCCCTGCCGCCATCTGGTTCTCCTTGCTGTTCCTCCAACGCCCAGGCAGGCTCCCACCTCTGGGCTTGGCACTGCTGTGCCATCTGCCTGTTGTTTCCTGACCCCTGGGCACACACTGCACCTTCTGCATCAGTCTGATACCCTGCGCTAGACTACTGCTGGGCCTGAGAACAGCCTGGGTGCTCGGTCACATCTATTGAGCTGGGTGCACGTGTAGCACTGCTGTGGGAACAGGGTTTGAGTGACAGAAATGTGTCTGTGGGATTGCTGTATCCATGCACAGGGCGGTTAGGGAGTGCACACATCTGCCGTTGACATAGTACGTGGCAGGGCCCCCTGGCAGGGCCTTCTCTCCTCACATCTGCAGGGAGCCACCATCTTTTCTCCAAGTCCTTTCCAGCTACTATGCCTTTGCTTTGGCTGCCTCCCCAACCCCCCACCCCCGCACCGTGCTCTCTCCCTTGGGCTCCCATCTCTTCAATCTAGAACTCTCTGAGATAATGGAAATGTTAGATATCTATGCTGTCCAATATGGTAGCCACTAGCCACACTGGCTTTTAGGTACTTGACATGTGGATGGTGTGAGTGAGGAACTGAATTTGGAACTGTATTTCATTTTAATCAAAATCAAAATCAAAATTTATATAGTTACGGACAGAACATTCTAGAAGCTTTCCTGGACCCACTGTAATACCGGTCTAAAGCAGGGTTCCTCTGTAACCTTCTACACTTCCTTCATACCTCTGACCAATCGTCATTGGTCATATGTTGTTCCTGTACTATCTGCCTCTCCCACTGGCCTTGGACAGTCCGTGGACACCCAATTTCCCTTGATGCCCACACCTAGCACAGAGCTTGGCCCACAGTAGGCCTTTGGACATGTTTGCGAAAAGAATCCTGTGACCTGCCATCGGCACGTCCTGCTCAGTCTCCTTTCTCTCCCCTGACCCCTGCAGCCTGCAGGACAACCACCATTGCCAGACCCAAACGGCCCCTCCTGGGCCACCCTACTGGAAAAAGGGGTTAAGAGTATGTCTTCTGGAATCAGGCAGGCCTGGATTAAACCCGGCTCCACCACCCAGTAGCTAACCTTGTGCAGGTTACTGCAACTTTATGACTCAGTTTCCCTGTTGGTAAAGCAGACTCAGGAAACTTCCGGGCCTGAGCCCCACATTGAGATGCTATCGGTCCCACCCGTACCCTCAAATTCCGAGCCACTCTCTTTGTAGCTCTGGAGAATCAACCATATTCTCTCCCCAAGTCTTCTCTTCTCACCCTGCTATGTCCCCAAGCCCCCTTCATGGCCAACTCCAAGAGACCCGGAGCCCAAGTTTGGGGTTGTGTTGGACCTCAGGGAGGCAGGCCAGGTGGGGGCGTGTGGGGCCGCATGGCTGACCTTGATGGTGTCATAGGCGCCGGTGATGAGTGCAATGAAGAGACTCAGCACCATGTAGATGAAGAGGCTGATGAAGGAGTAGAGGTAGAGCTGGGAGAAGAGCCAGACCAGGCTGCTGCGGCCCTGCTGTGCCTGCATCGCCGCAAACGTCACAAACATGTCGTCCCCGTTGATGAGTGAGAACAGGCACTCGGACACCATGGACAGCGAGCGGAACTGCCGGCAGGGCAGAGGGGTCAGAGGGAGCCATGGGCACAGCCAGGGGCTGGCATCACGGCAGGGTGACCACAGGTCAGCGGGGATAGTGGGCAGAGTACCAGCAGTCACCATAGGGAGGCAAGGATCATAGTGTCAAGGTCACAGGGTCAATGACAGGTTCCCCAGGGGTCAGAGGAGCCAGTAGATAGAACTGTAGGTATAGCAATGTGGTCAAGAGAGGGTCATTAGCAACTGTGACAATGATAAAGTCACAGGGTCAATGTCAGGGTCACCAGAGGTCACAGGGGACAGGACAGAGTATCAGGAGTCACAATGGGGTCATCTGGGGGTCATGGTATCAATGTCAAGGTGTCAGGGTCAATGTCAGGGTCACTGAGGGCCAACGGGGACAGAGAACAAAACTGCTACAGACCTGCTGGTAAGGCACCAGGGGCCAAAGTGGGTCATGCAATATCATCAGGTCTGGAGATACCAGGAGTCAGAGGGCTTAGAGAGTGCACTCAGGGCAAGGGAGCCAAGTATCCTTGGACTATAGGTCAGGAGGACCCCCAGCCCTGGCAGCCCCTACCTTCACGTGGTAGGGCCCCAACACGATCCAGCCGCAGAAGCAGTAGCCCAGATAAATGACAGCCACACAGCAGCAGAAGCGCATGACGCTGGGCAGGGCCACCCGCAGTGTGGCGATGAGAATCTGTGGCGAGGCAGAGGGGGGCCACATTCAGAGTGCAGCTACAACCTGGCTTGGCTGTAGGCACCCACATGGGGGTGAAGCAGGCAGGCCTGTCCTGAGGGGGCTCCAGGGTACCCCAGGTCTGGACTCAGAGGGGTGGGCTCTGGTGGCCCAGGTGCAGGGACAGGTATGTCTGGGGTGGGCAGGTATGAGTAAGAGGCTTGTGACGGGCCACTGGCAGGGCCTGGTGAGTGTCATATGTGTGTGGATTGATAGGGGGGCACGGGGTGGCCACTTGGAGGGCCTGATTCCTCCCAGTCCCGGCCCATGGGTAGGAGGCTCACGTTGTACTTGTGGAAGAATGTCAGATACCGGATGACACCAACCCAGACGAGCAGCGTCGAGGTGCCCAAGAGGATGCTGCAGACGTCATAGCTGGCCAGGTTCTAGGGGTGGGAACAGTGTCAACCCATCTGGGGGGGATGTGGCCCCAGGCAGGCATTGGCAGCAGGGAGGAGACAGGACCTGGGGAATGAGGCAGCATAGGGACCCAGGGGAGGGCGTGCATGGGCAGGACCCACCTTGGCCTCGATGCCAATCTTCATGAAGGTGCCTGAGATGGTGAGCACGTCGCTGGTGACCAGCAGGATGTACCAGCCATTGACAAATTCCAGCCGTTCCCACAGGCTGATTACCCGTCCCCGCTTCCGCCACATGAACCTGACAAACTCCTGCAGAAGGCAGGCAGGGTGAAGGCCTGCCCAGGAAGTGGCCCCCAGCCTCCGCCCCCTACCCTATGGCTCCCGCGCTGGGCAAGGCGGGCCCGGTACACAGGACACTGGGGCCTCACATTCTGCAGCAGGAAGCCGCGGAGCAGAGAGCGGGCACAGAGCAGGAAGGATAAAGAGCAGGTAAGAATGACGACCACATCAAACAGGAGCCGGAAGCTGTTGTCTCCTGTGGGGAGGGGGGCAGCGGGTAGGGCCCAGGGTGGTATGGGGCCCGGGGAGGCCAGTGCTGGCGCCAGGGCAGGCTGAAGACCCTGGGGCTGCATGGCTAGTTTTCACCAGTCAGTCAGTCAGGGTGAGCCAGGATACCTGGTAAGCACTGATCTGGGGCTCAGGAGAATCCAAGGGCAGGTTGGGGCCCCTGGCCAGTGCTGGTCTGGGGTTTGGGGGGTCCCTGGTCAGCCCTGCTCTGGGACTCATGGGAATTCCTGGGTCAGGGGCTCACCGTGCCTGAAGACACTGGGGTGCTTACACTCCTGGATGTGGGCCTGGGTCTCCAGGCTGATGGGGACACGCCCGCTGTGCGCCTTATTGTCAAACGTGATCTGCAGGGCCAGGCAGGGCAGAAGGGGGCAGAGTAAATCTCAGCAGCCCCAAGCTCCAGATCCTCATGACGGATGGTCCGGCCAATCCCAGACTTCCCCATCATTCCCATGCTGGCCTCAGCCAATGGTCCCCAGCACTGGCACTCAGGAGCCCTGTGGGCCCCTTAGATCACAGGAGGGTCCTCACCAGGACGCTGAAGGTGTAGCAGTCTGGGATCTCGTTGTTGATGAGGCTCTGGAGGTTGATGGTCTTCAGCTGGAAGTGGATGGTGACGTTGATCAGCCTAGGGAGGAGGCTCGGGTGAGGGGCATGGGGCCCTGCAGGTCCCTCCCCGCACCCCTGCCCCGCGCTGACTCTGCAGCTGGCAGAGGAAGTGCTCGCACAGCAGGCATCAGTGTGGCGACCCCTGGCCTCCGCCTGTAGGGAAGTGGCTGCTGGGGCAAGAACACCCATTGTCCTGCCTCCCCCGACCCATGGCCCAGCCCCAGAGCGGCCCCCTCGAGCGAGCGAGCGAGTGAGCGAGCAAACGGGCAGTACTTGTGGAATTTGAGTGTGAGGTTCTTGTAACTGGAGCTGCCATCCGAGAGGGTGAGATCATCACTTGGGGGCCCTGGGGGTCGCTCAGGGGGATCCACCTGGATGCAGTCTGAGGACAGGGAGTCAGGAAAGGGCCTCAGGGGCGTGGGAGGCCAGGCTGGTCCCCCAGAGTCCCCACCAGCCTTCTTTCCTGCTTCACTTCCTGCTTTGTCCTTAAATATTTGCTGTTTCTCCCCAGAGCGGGACCTG